TCAAATGATTGTGCCAGCTGGTGAAAGCACTGCTCCTCTGGAATTGAAAGTTGTAGATCAATGGCACATACAATTCTAGGAAAAGGAAGTCAAATTTTGCTAGTAGATCAGTAGCGCTAATGATGAATGCAACTGCTTCATGTTTCTGTCTTTGAATTTTAAATGCTCACTGTCAGAGTACCAGCACCATACATTAAACACTTAATTGGAGCATAGACAACCTGCTGGCAAACTCTTACAAAATGTTGCTACTTACCTGGAAGTATAATTGAATCATCAATGACTATTTCACAGTTCTAGCCGGCTAGCTGCTTAAAGGTGATGAAGAACATAGTAAAACCATAAGTAAAGAACAATTTCCATATTTCTCTGGTCTTTGACCATGAGCAATGTGAATGTAAAACTGTCCTTATCCACTTTCAGGGGGTGCCTATATATTGAACCTCTTTCAAGTTAGGGCCAGTAACAGAATATAGATTCCTCTCAAAAGGAGAGCAGTTATCTGGAGATGATGCCAGGGGTTGGCCTGTGCTATAATTCATCTTAAGGGATCTGGGAGTGCTCCCAGGGGAGACGCTCCATTCCTATTCACTGTTACTTTGAACACAATGAACCTCCTGGGTAGCTTTTACTACTCAGTGTAGATGTGTTGCAGAACCTCTTCTACTTGGAACCTCTCAAAACTAGCAACTTCCTGTTTGTTCATTGAATTTCTTGGTCTACTGGGTTTTGGACTCAGGGCCTTATAATTGCTAGATAACAGCTCTTTCACTTGAACCATTCCTCCAGGCATTTTTGCTTTAGCTATGTTTCAGATAGCTTTTCTTGTTTTGCTTGGAGATCTTAGCCAGGGACTGTATCACCATCCAGAGGACAAGCACAATTGTACATCACCCTAGTCATACCTATCACATTAACTTTTTGCCATATCAAACCATGCCTTAGGGTACTTGGGATGACTGGCATGCATCACTACACCAGGTGTCTTTAGTTTTATGACTGTTTTCATTTGACATGGAACTTCCTATGTATATAATAAGAATTTACTAGGATCCCTTTTCACTTCTAGACAAAATTATAGATATTAGTGGCTAAACCTGTTTTTATTGTTGTTGTTCCAGTCCTGGGTATTGTCTCTGAGGATGTTTTTTCCCCCTCAAAGCTGATGCTCTACCACTTGAACTACAGCTGCACTTCCAGGTTCTTGAGTGGTTAATTAGAAATAAGAGTCTCGTGGTCTTTCCTGCCTGGGCTGGCTTCAAACTGTGATCCTCAGATCTCAGTCTTGTGAATAGCTAGGACTGTATGATTTATTGTGGTAGTTAGGTTCACTTTTCACTTCAGCAGTTGAGGGTCATTTAGCTCCTGCCTCACTGTAATTCAATCATTCTACTGCATATACATTCAATCTAACCATAACATTTCAATTTAAGTCTCTGGTTTTCTTTTTTTATTTAAACCCTAAGAAATCAGTTATTTCCCATTCACTGATAGTGAGTGGTAGATTAAGGAACATAAAGGCATTGACTAATTGCTCTTAATTTCACTAGACAAAGTGGTAAGAGATAAGGATGCAAAACAGCAATGTTCTGATCCAATAGTTTGTGTGCAAGCCTGGAGGGAAAGCCTCATCTATAGCTTTGGGGCTCAAATATCCATCTCCTGATTCATGTTTCAAAACATGCCAAACTGTTAGAGCTCTTTCTAACTCTCAAGCTGCACTACTTAGTGAACACAGCAAAAAAAAAATCCTCTACTTCATGAAGGCCTGTCAGTACACTTAAGATTACTGACTTTGGGATTTACTCAATCAAGCAATATATTGCCACACCTCTGTTTTCCTATCTTTGGACTTGGATTGAAATTTACACCTCTAGAGTTCCTGGTCCTCCAGCTTGCAGACTGATGGTGGTGTGTCTTTCCAATCTTTGTTATCATGAGAGCTAAATTCTAATACATATGTTTCTATCTCTTGCTTGCTGGCTGTGTCAACTCACTTGCTGACTTATTTCTATTGGTTTTAATGCTCTGCCATACCTTGACTGATATGATATTTAGTACAAGGAGTAGTTCTAGAAGAGCAGAATTCTGGGAAAAAGTTTTCTGAATTGTCTGAATAGTTTCTGGAACTTGTTTTCTAAATTGATTGGCTTTGAAGACATTAATGGCTATTTCTAATAGTAAAGATAGTACTAATAAAATCTCTATGAAGAGTGCATGTGTAGAAGTAAACTTTAAGCCCAGGCTAATACTTATCTGATAAAAAAATCCTATGATATAAAATACTAGTCAGGATGTATAGCAAGGGAACTCTTATTCATAGCTATTTGGAATGGAGAATGTTGTGGCTATTTTGGAAGACAGTTTGTTGTTTTTTAAGAAAAAAAACAGAGCTAAATGTCATTTCAGCATGCTTTGCAGCAACTGTATACTTCAATATTTACCAAAATACAACAAAAACGTGTCCCTACCAAAGCCTGCAGGAGAATCTGTATAACTGCCTTACTGCTAATTGCTAAAAATTAGAGGTAACTGATATATATGTATATATATATATATATACACACACATACACATACATATACACTTTTACATATATAGTGTATACATATGCATGTATAATATATAAATAGTTGAATGGAAAAAATCCATAGTATATCTATGAGATATTATATAATAATAACAAGTAATGATTTGTAATGTTGCCAAAAGACATGGAGGAATCATGAATTCTTATTGTTAATTCAAAGAAAAAAATCCAGACTAGCTACAAACTATTTGACATACTGAGATGCCACTCTTGAGAAAGGTGACTTATAGAAAGAATAAACACTGGTATTGCTACAGTTTCAGGTGAGGGAAGACAGCCTGACTCAGTTGAGCACAAAGGACTGTTGGAGGAGTAGAAATATTTAGTAAGGCACGGTAATGGGATATGTGTGATAGCATGCATTTGTCAGTGAAATTTAATGTAAACTATGAACAAATATTGGTTCTTTAATTGCAATAAGGATTCCACACTAATAAGCTGTGTTCACAATGCAGGAAGCTATATAAACGACTTTTTTGTATATTTAAAACTGTTGTAAGTCTGGACATGGTGGTGCATTCCAATAGTCCTAACTACAAAAGAGGTGGAGATAGGAGGATGACACTCAGAGACCAGCCTAGGAATAATGTAGTGAGATTGCATCTCAAAGCAAGCCAGGGGTAGTGGGCCATATCTGTAATCCCAGCTACTTGAGCAGTCAAGAAGGAATGCTAAATGATCACAATCAGACCGTGGCTGTCCCAAAGTTAGCACAAGAATGTTAACAAAAGGACTAAGGGACTTGACCCAAGTGGTAGTATGCTGAGTCCTGAGTTCAATCCCTAGTACTACTAAAAATGAACAAAAATGTTTATCAACAATTTTTAAAACTCAGTTATGATGAAAGTGTCGCTCTATAATATGAAAAAATGCCATTTATAAAGAAATTGCATGTAAGTACGGAAAGAAAAGAAAAGGCTCAGTAGTTGCAAGCAGAAAGGACTATTGTCATGGGGATATTTTATCAAACAGTCCAGCCCCACATTTGTGTTAAACTTTGTAGAGTATAACAACAGTATGATCTTTGCAGAATTACAAGTACTTATCTGGGATATTTTTCTAGACTGAAAGTACAAAAGAGGGAAAGTTTTTGATTGGCTTAAACATTTTGTAACGTCCTCTGTACCAATTACTCATGAAGAAGAATGAAGTTTCAAGTCCACTTTATCTATTAGCCCTATTCAGGATTAGCCCTGTTCTTCAGAATACACTTCAGTCTTTTTGCGTTGGGTAAGGTTAAATATTATTGCCTTTTCATTTTTCTTGAATTCATCAGCCGCTTGTATCCATTAATTGTGTTTTTAATGCCTCTTCTCCTAGATGCCTGTCAGTGCACTAATTACTAAGATCCTTACTTTAAACTATGTTTTAATATGGAAGCTGGGTAAATAAATAATTTTACTGATAGCATATTGGAATTTGTCGTAGTTAAAGGAAAATACAAGATTTGAAGGTCATTTGGAGACATAATCAAGTGTGTAAGAATCAAGCACTATCTCTCAAAAGTAAGTGAATTCTAAAAATGAGAGATAACCAGTGTCATAACTAATTGTGTTAGAGGTATTGATAAACGTAGAAAGTCAGGAACAAAGGAGATACAGTGGCACAAAATGCAGAAGGGTATAGAATTCCTGTTCACTCAGGGATACACCGTTGGCCAGGTTATTTTTTTCCTTCATTCTCCTGTCTAATTTAAAACACTATTCTTGGCTACCTTTATGTAGAAGAGTCATGTTTCTAAAATAATAACTCAAAGGTGTGTGATATGTACGTTCTTCAGTAATCATCTGTTCTTTAATTCTCAAGGTTGTTTTAGCATTAAAGAAATGATGTCAAATTGAGTGTGTTTTCCAATTGCCTTGTTAGTTTCAGTGTGTTTTTCAATTGACTTGTTATGACTAGACTAAGTCTGATAGAGCCTTCTTTGGCAGGTGTCCCAATTCGGGGTCCTTACCATCCTTCAGGTTCTGCTCTGTCACATTTTCTTCTCTCACTCCACCAAGTTTATTCTTTTGAATGTCAACCTCACCCATGTTATTATTCATCAGTGAATGAGTAAGGGATTCCTCTCTTCCACTCTCTCTTCTGTGTGCTTTGCCGCAGGCATTTTCTTGCTCATCTTCAGCTTGGTTTCTTCATACTCTGTCTCCCAAAACTACTGAATGCGATTGGGAAATTTAGGAAATTATGAGCCAAAGATTTAAAATAAAAATAACAGCCTAAGCTTTCTCTATTTCTGAAGGAATAAACATGACTCTGTATGGCTAACTGCATGCGCAGGTATGTATCCATATCTATGCTAATCCACTGCATCACAAGGCCAGCCCACACAAAGTTAATCTCCGCCTCCTTCTCTGGCATTCAGAATAAAAACTCACTAGAAACTTTCCAAATACACCAGTAGTTCTCATCCTCTCTGCGCAGCTTAAATCTTGCATTGATATTTGAAGAAAACTAAAGTAGATCATTCAGTTTCTTTCCCAGGATCATCTGGACCAGGTAGTAAGTTTATTTTTAATGTTAGCACTCAGATTTTAAGTATTGAATGTACACCATATGTTGCAAAGCTGTTTAACAGAAAAAAAATGTAGGAAAGATAAAGCTTTTTTTTAACAATGCCATATGTTACAATGCTGTTTTTAAAAAAGAAAATGCAGGGAAGATGAAGTTTTATTAGATAATATTTAAAGGAACTAAAAGTGTCTAAAGTCACTTACTTGTCACTGAAGTAATGTCTTCATTTACCTAATGTTTTGTTCTTTAAAGAACTGTAGCATAAAGTTATAGTATTGTAGCAATCTGGGAACTGTTGCATGCTGAACATGTTTGCTAATTTTGGTGATGGGAAAAAGAAAACAAGCAGGCTAGACACAGGTAGAATGTAGACTTATTCTAAACTTAGGTTACTTGTGTGCAACGTATCAGAGGGAGTCTATCACTAGAAAGAGTTGTAAAAGTATTGTTGTAACTTTTAAGTGAGAGACTTTAAATAATACTGCAAAAATTTAAAGTCATTGGCATGATACTGCCTGTATTATCTAGAAGCCCTTAAAGGGAGAATAGAGACAGAAAGATTAATAATTAAAATGACCAAATATTCCTGAGCATCTACTTAGTTTCACAGTACTTAAGTTTGATATTAAAAATAAAGATGCAGAAAAAGATAGCTTCTGCTTTCAGCCACTTTCCCTAAATACAAGAAGGTCCAAGAGAACCAGGACTCAAGGGGCTTAGTGTGTATGCTCCTAGAATATACCATATTGTTTAGAAACAAGAGGCATCCAACAGGAGGCATCCACACACAGGGTGTTTTCTAGATAAAAGGCTGGTTGGGGAAATGGAAGAGAGCAGGATGAAGAGAGAGACAAAAAGGAGAAAGAAGGAAAGAATTGTTTCTGAATTAAATTCATCTATAACAATTTTTGCACAACTGAAACCTTTATCCTCATTTATGAAATGTGTACTTCTAACTTGAGATAAAAGAGCCAGCTAGGAAGTAAATCCATGCACTGTAATGTGGGACAATTTATCAAAAGTAATTAAAAGAAGGGAGTGGCTTTATCCTATGTCCCCAGTGTAACTCCGAGATGCAAACTGACCGTGAAGCTGCAGCTAGCAGTCAGCCTTCAGCCAACCACCCATGTAATGATGTGTTAATTAGTTGCTCCCAGCTGACTTCAAAGCCAGTTCTTAGAAATTTGGCTCTACCCCCCAAAAGTAAGCCACATAAGTAAACAAATCAATGGACAGAGCCAGGAGGTGCCTTTTATACACATTTCCTCTAGCAAAAAGGAAAACAAAAGCATTTTCAGAGAATAAGAAGCATGTGTGTGTAAAGAGATTTATTATAGAGACTGAATTTCTATGTTGCTATTAGAAATCCTACAATTATGGTGAGTTTATATACTGTATGTCTCAGATTTTCAAGGAGTTGAGATTGCTTTTAGGGACCTGCTTATTTTTCTCTTTGGGGAAGAAGAGTTGTGACTAATACTGTTTTGTGGTTCCAAAACACATGTTACACCATTCCTTGGACAAAACCAAACAAATTCAAGCTTCCTACAGGATGGCTCTCCTGGTGTGCAATCTGGGGCCAAGTTGAAATCAACACCATACTGAGTTACTCTAGAGAAATGAAGAGATGGAAACAAATGCTAGGAAAAGTCATATTGGTTGTTTAATGTGAGAAAATAGATGGTTGAATACAAATATCTCTGTTATAATCATCAATTCCAATATGGGGAATGTTAACTTTGTGTGTCTCAGCTATTCGACAGAAAGCTTGCCATGCCATTATACTGTTGACAGATCGATCCAGAGCTTGGCTCCCTGAATATTGTCTGCTATACATGATACAAATTCATATTTATCTACCAAGCAAGCCAAGCTTCTTCTTTTTTAATTTGCAATAATTGTTTCAAATATGTATTGTAATTATTATCATCTTCAAAATGAAGATGAGAAAATGGAGCACGGTGGAGCTAAAGCTAATTTATAAGTTTATACAACTTCAAATAATCAAACTGTGACTAATTGCACCCAGATGGTCTCCTTAAATAATTATATTCCATGCTGTGTACACACTAATCATTGGAATCATTATCAGTACATGATCCTTTAACAGTTAAATACTCAGGTACGTGCACAAAACAAAAGAAAATTATAACATGTTATAAAATAAGTAATAAAGTTTTATATACTACTATTAAAAAAGCTAAAAACTGGGCACAAGTGACTCACTCCTGTAATTCTAGAAACTCAAGGGGGTGAGATGTGAAGATTACAGTTTGGAGTCAGCCTGGTCAGACAAATCCTACAGACTCTTTTATCTCAATTTTCCCATGAAAAGTCAGAACTGGCAATGGGGCTCAAGTGGTAGAATACCAGCTTTGAGTTAACAAAGCAAAAGCATAAAGCTCTGAGTTCAAAAGCCACTAACAGCACCCTTGCTTACCTCCCCCACCAAAAAACCCTCAAATAATAAAAAGCTAAAAGAGAATTTCAATAATAAACCAAAATACCTTATATTTTAAATGTATGAAACAAAATAGTAGCTGAAATGAGGAAAATGCAATGTTCCAGGTAGACACATGCAGTAAAATATTTTAAATAACCCATAAACTCATGGAGTACAGAACATAAAAATTATAAAACATCTGTGATATGTAAATCAAAAACATTTAAAGCATTTTGCAGGTGTGAAAAATTAGAAAAAAATTTTCAAAATGAGTTTAAAAAATAGTCCATCTCATGTACTGTGCTAACTGATAATGCTGATACTCAAAGATACCTATTGTGGCACTAGTTATACCAAAAAATACATTGGGAAAAATGAGCTTTTAAGCAGCAAATAGTACATTATCTATGGAACATTGGTACTATGGCCCATGTGTCATTTATAACACCCAAAGCTATATTTTATTACAAACAACAAAATATGTCTCCATTTTAGGAGATTAAAAAGTACATGCAAAATTTTGGTGTAACTTAATACATGAAAGTATTCAAAACTATATTGAAATGTATTTGAAAACTAATGAAGAGACATTTGCTCAATTAAAACTTACACATGAAATTAGGTGTAACTGAGGAGAAAAATCAGAATTATTGCCCTCAATTTTTTAACTTTCAGTCAAGGGAGTTAGTGATTACTCTTTAGTGATCAAGTGAGAGATAATTGTACAGATAATACCAAAGGTAATAAATGAAGTTTAAACTTTCAAGTTTTGTGTCTTCAATAAAAACTTCAGAGTGCCATTCATTTCAACTTCTTGCAAATACAGCCTGTAAGTTGAGTGTACTTGAATGTTTATTAAATGACATATTTGGGCATTAAGAAAATTCTAATCAGAGTTTAAATCTAAAGACATCAATAATTGTCTTTTTAATATTTTTTATTGTAAAGATACTGTACAGAGGGGTTACAGTTACATGAGCAAGGTAATGAGTTTCTTTCCTACCCTTTGATCTTTTAAAATTCATTCTTTACTTTTGTATACCTTTTCAGTTTTGACATAGTGTAGGTACTCTTCCTTTCATCCATCATACCCTTAGAACATGCTATGTATTCCCCATCTACCTTAGTTTTAAGAATTGCCTTCTTATCTTTTTATGTCTTAGATTACATTCCTCATAGAATTAGAAAGTCTTAAAACACCAGAACTGAATCACATATATCTTTAGTATAACTTTACTTCCCCTGAGTAATAGCTAGTAAAAGCTAGATATTAATGCCAATGTTAAAATATACTCTAGTACATACAATGTGTAAAATGTATCTTCTATTTTTTTTTTACAGTATTCAACTCTATGATGGATCTTGAGTGCAATGAAGCCTTTGGTGAAGTCCATGGAATTCCAATGTATAAAGACTTTGTCAAATATTGGGATGATGTGGAAACATTCCAAGCAAGGCCAGATGATCTTGTCATTGTCACCTATCCTAAGTCTGGTAGGTCTCTTTGCTATGTCAAGGTGATTTCTCATCTAGATATCATAACTCCATTTTAAGCCATAACATTAAGCTGTTAATTTCTTACATGCATCTTTTCCACATTAAATAAGGACAGCTATAGTAATTTTGATATAGACATAGAAAAAGTGGATGTTAGAGCTCTATTCCACAAGCTCACACTCTATAACTAAAACTTTACCAGTACATTGATGGATGAATATTGTTGCCAGATGCTGGTGGCTCACACATATAATCCTAGCTCTTCAGTAGGCTGAGATTTGAGGATTGAGATTTGAAGTCAGCCTGGGCAGGAGAATCCAAGAGTGTCTTATCTCCAAGTAACTACCAAAAAACAGAAAGTGATGCTGTGGCTTAAAGTGGTAGAGTGTTAGACTGAATGAAAGAGCTCAGGGACAGTGCCCAGGCCCTGAAGTCAAGCCCCATGACTGACACTCCCTCCCCCGCACAAAATTGTTGATTATACTAGAAATGCATGCAACATATTAAAATTGTAAACAATATTCATCTTATATCATTGTTTTATATATAGCATATAAACACATTTCATAAATATTTAAAAGCTTTTTTTTAACTAAGCAGCTTCTAGTGTTTAAATCCAGCCAAACAAATATTCATTTCTTAGGCAATGGTATTTTTTCTTGAGTTTAGGTCAATTGTTTATCATTGTTTTGGAATGTTATCATCACAGAGAGAAATGAAAGTCTGATCTAGACTTCTGTGTCTACTTGTACTATTTAACACTTAAAAATAAATGTATTAGCTGGGTTTGGTGGAACACATGTTCATCCCTAGAAGTTAGATCTATCTATCTATCTATCTATCTATCTATCTATCTATCTATCTATCTATCTATCTATCTATCTATCTGTCTATCTGTCTGTCTGTCTGTCTGTCTGTCTGTCTGTCTGTCTGTCTTCAATCATCTCCACACTCATCAAACACAAAATATGTTTTTGGTGTTCCTGTGCCTTTTAAACTTTTCCTCCATATCTTGGCTGGACTAAATGATAGGATAGAACTAATCATCTGATGAGTAAATCTGAGCATTATTCTGACTTCCATTTCTTCAGCTTCTTTATTTCCCCAGTGTCAACACATTTTGTCTAATCCTATAAATATTTCTAATAGCCTGCATCTTGTTGTATCTCTCATGTTCCTTTTCAAAATTGCACAGTTTACTGTTTACTGTCACTAGAAATATTCTCTTTCTAAAACACATTTTGATAATATTGTTTTTTTTTTTTTGTCATGGGGCTTGAACTGTGGGCCTGGGCGCTGTCCTTTAGCTCTGCAGTTCAAGGTGAGCGCTCTACCACTTGCTTGTGGTTTTCTGAGTGGTTTACTGGAGATAAAAGTCTCATGGCCTTTCTTGCGCTGGCTGGCTTTGAACAGTGATCTTCAGCCTCCTGAGTAGCTAGAATTACAGGTGTGAGCCACCACACCTGGCCCATATTGCTTGTTTTTTAACGTTTATCAATGTCTTTTCATGACTTTGATAAGAAAACTCAGAGTTTAACTGTAAGTTACTTTATGCCTTCCATCTACTTACCTCTGCAGTTTTGTCACTACCCATCTATTTAGTTCTTTGATTTAGGGTGTATGTAGTCTTGGTTCTAATGTTTATTTTTTTCTGCCATTTTCAATGTTTAATTAGTCATCCTGCATTTAAGCAAAAAGGCATCAAGTTTTCTTCCTGGTAAGATCCTTTCCTACCTCACACAAACGCTGAATTTATGCCAGATCTCTTTTAGGCCTAAGCTCAATTACCTTATTTATTTTTCAGTACTATAAGATTAAAGATTAGATAAAAGATTGGTTTCATTTTTTGACTATTTAAATACTCTTCAAGCAATATTGCATTACCATTTTTCCATTTTATCTATGTATAAATCCAGTTTGCCTGTCGTTATCTGTGCATGGTCAATAGACACTCAAATTTATTTATTTACATTTTTTCAGGCACAACATGGATTAGTGAGATTGTATACATGATTTACAAAGAGGGCGATGTGGAAAAATGCAAAGAAGATGCAATTTTTAATCGAGTACCTTACTTGGAATGCAGAAAAGAAGAGAAGCTGAATGGTAATGTTAAAAGTTGATTTCAAAAGCTGTATGTATATGCTACAGGATATAGATGTAGAGAATGCTAGCAAAAAAATTGAAGCAAGAGTGGAAATTAGAATTATACCTTCTACCTAGGAAACTATAATTTTTTTTTCAGTCATGGGGCTTGAACTATGGGCTTGGGCTTTATCCCTGCGCTCTTCAGCTCAAGGTGAGCGCTGTACCACTTGAGCTACAGAGCCACTTCTGGTTTTCTAGTGGTTTATTGGAGATAAGAGTCTCACGTACTTTCCTGCTGGGGCTGCCTTTGAACTGGGATACTCAAATCTCAGCCTCCTGAGCAGCTAGGATTACAGGCATGAGCCACCTAAATGAGCCTGGCTAAATCTATAAATTGAAACGTATAATATGAGGTGCCTTACACTGCAGTATATATGCATTCAGCAGAGACTAGTAATATATATGCTAGCATTTATTTTGCTGTGAACTCAATGGGACATTATTTTAAATGCTGGTAAAACACCTATAAAGTTTTCAATGATATATTCGAATGAATACTCATTAGAGATTATTTTAGTATTTAGGGAAACTAGAAACAACCTAAATTTTAACTAACAATAGAATAGTTAAAAGTTGCAAAGTAACAGTATGAACACATTTTAAAAATCAGGATATTTCTTGTTACTGTAGTTTGAGTATAATATATTGAGGAAGAAAGAAGAGAAGATACTAAGATTCTGTGTGGGTTTGGTTCTGGGATGGCTGTGAGTAAGAACATATTGTTGTATTTGATGAAAGGGTACTCACTAGCATGTTATCAATAGTTTCTCCTAGTTGGTGAAATTCATATGATTTTTCTCTCCATAATGTCCTTTATAAATTTTCAAAAGTAAAAGGTAACACTCTGAACACAGCATAGACTCTTAAAATTATGTGTGTTTTTTAAAAAATCAATGTAAATGCATGCAGATAATTCTAGTTTGGAGAATGGTCTAAGTTTAAGTTTTTAAAAATCAGGAGTAAAACAGCTGGAAGAGATGGACTCTCCCAGAATAGTGAAGACGCACCTGCCACCTGCGCTGCTTCCAGTCTCCTTCTGGGAAAATAACTGTAAGGTAAGTAGAGTTGAGTGGTCTCAGCATCTCACAAAAACCAGGCATTGAAATAGGGTTACAGGTGGACCCATTACAACAATGGGATGTACAAGACATTATGCCAAAAAATGAACTTTACAACTTTGGCGGGGTGGAGGGGGTGGAGGTGGTGGTGGTAGGCGGTTGTGGGGGGACGGAGAGGGGAAGGGATGGTATGGGGAAACAAAGGAGGAGGCAACAATGCTTGATAAGAAATGTACTTACTATCTTGCCAATGTAATTGTAACCCCTCTGTATGGTATTTTCAGAACAATAAAAATAAATCAGGCATTGGCAAAAATCTGATCAGATATTGCCTAAAATATGTCTTATATACTTGCTTATTTATCCTTCTCACTGAATAGTTCAGAAAAGCATACTATAATACTCAGAGAGTCCAAATTTTAAGTATAATACTACCATTTGTTGGAAATTATTATGAAACAATGAATTAAATTCTATGCCTCAGCTTGCTTGTCTGTAAGAGAAATGTATTAACAGTATTTTCCTCATGGAATTGTTAATAAATAAATAAAATTTTACTTGCATACTTCTTGGTATTGAGCCTAGTATGTTATAAACACTCAATCCATAGTAGCTACTTGTCTACTTACTGTTAATACCAATTATATCAAATGTCCTCCTTTTGCAAAATATTGTATTTGGTACAAACAAATCAGAAAAGGGTAAACTGTAAAGGTATCATATAATAAGTTGCTGAGTGACTGTCTTAATTGTGTTAATACACAGTACCCTAGTCTAAATACGTCATAAAGAAAGTAAATTTTATTTTGGTTACTGCTTTCAGCCCACGATGGAAGGGCTGCATCTGGCCATGGTTTTGTGGCTGTCATAGTCCCAAGATGCCATAGAGTATTGTATGGCAAAGATAGGAAGTGCATATTTACATGAATCTTCAAGTCTTTCTCCATATTGTATTCCAGTACAACCACCAGTATTTAATCACAGGGGGCTATAAACATAGGGGCCAGGAGCAATGGACTTTTCTGGTGTTATTTAAAGGTGCATATAACCTAGCCGATGAAAACTCATAGATGAGCTCTGAAACAAGTTAGGCTAGACGCTTGCATGCACACACTCACACACACACACACACACACACAATATGTAGCATATATATATATATATATACATATATATGTAGTATATGTATATATGTATGCACATATATGATACACACATTATATATAACACATATATGGAAATTGAGTAAAGGACAATAAGCTGGGATGTTGGATCTAACTTCAGAAATTCAAAGTTTCCTGCCATTGTAACAAGGATTTACAGCTATGTATGCAAGTATATAATAAGCAAGTATATGATTTTTGTGATCAGCCCTGTTTTATACAGAGAATGTTAAAAAAAAAAGGAGATACAAAGCAGGGCTGGAATCATCAACGTGGTTCTTCCAATTTTTTCTAGCTTTATTAAAAATATGTTATGACCCAAACAGACATTGGAATCTGAAAATATCCTATAACCAGCCATGAACTATTTCCATTGAATGTACTGACATATCAACATATTTGACATACTCTAGAAGTCCATGGCCCTGATTTCTAAAAGTTGTAACGGTTGTTTTATTCATAAAGCAATCTTAGATCATATACAGTCTACTGAATCATTCCATATGTGAAGCTCATCAGTAACAGTTACGTATTTTCCAGATAATTTTGTTATAGCATTCCTGTAGGAAATTTCTCCAGGTCACATTTTTTTTTCAGAGAATAGTATAGTCTTGCTGTTGATGCTTTCTTTCTCAAATGAAAGGAGGTACCATACATTTACGATAACCTACATTGTAACCAAACTGCTTCAAGCTCATAGGTCATCAAAGGTTCACCCCTCTGTACAGTATCTTTACAATAAAAATATATATTAAATTTAAACAAAAGATTTGGAGACAGGAAGATTGAGTCATTCTTAGAGCATTTCTAGGATAATTTACTGGTACAAAAGGAAGCCTATAGGAGAGAATATTTTTACAGATTTATTTGGAAAGTATAGGTGATAAAAAGAAGAAGAAAGTGACAAAAGGAGAAGAATAATAGAAAAATGTTCAAGGCCAACAGATTTGAGACCAAGGCACGATTTGGGGAGAAATGATTGAATAGTTTATGTGTCTGTCTTTGAGTAGAACATTAGAGTGTAGTGCAACGTTTAAGAGGTAAAACTTTTACAATAAAATCCAAGTCTGTTTATTAAAGTAATAACCATGATTTTTGAACCCTAGATATTTCCTCTATATGTAGAATGAAACCTAACAATATTTTTAAGACATTATAGCTCCCTGAGATCCATATAATTATGTTTTTTAATTCCTTTTGTACAAAGGAGTAGCGAGATTCTTTTTATTTAGAAAACAAAATAATGGTGTATAACTAGCAATATGTTTATTGTTGACTGAGTGATTTACATAATAGGAGTCAATGACTGCCTATTATTCTTGTCATTCAGAAGGCTGATCCTGTCTGAAAGAAAACCAAAAATGTTTCCTTCCTTATAATTTTATATACTTATCAACCTCTATATATTGAATATATTATGTTTCGTGGTTTAAAACATACCTTTAAATCTTGACACTATTGTGGGAAATCTATTAAATGCTTTACTATGTAATTTTCTCCTCTTAGATGATCTACCTTGGCCGGAACGCCAAGGATGTGGCTACTTCATACTATTACTTCTTTCTGATGGTAACTGAATATCCAGATCCTGACTCTTTTTCAAACTTTGTAGAGAGATTCATGGAAGGACAAGGTAGGAACACCTTTCTTTTTGGTTCTTGCCTGTCATCTGATTCTTAGCCCAAACACAGAAGTTCTGAAAGTCCTTAAGTTTAGAACAAGAAGAAGGCATGGTTTTCAGAGATGGAACACAGACTGGTCTGGATATTGTAAAAAAAAATGTTAGATGCTGGAGGGGATGTGGACAGAAGGGAACCTTACTTCATTGTTGGTGGGAGTGTAAACTTGTTCAACCACTTTGGAAAGCAGTATGGAGGTTCCTCAAAAGACTCCACATAGAGCTCCCCTATGA